CTCGATGGACAATGTTTTCTGGTGTAGGAGCAGTCTGGAAGGAAGTTAGGGGTGGCCAAACCATGAAGACACTGATAACTGAACTGTGCCATGTTAATACGTGGTTGGGGACTTTGAATAGCGTGGTTCAAAATCGTTTGCCATGGCGCAGATGCATCCGTCCTCCGTATTCCTCCAAATTCTAAGATTCTAAACTCAACTATTTTTTGTTTTTATTTTACTAATTTATATTTACTCGAATCGTATCTTCGATGCCTCATCTTTCCTAATAACACTGAAATTGCTACTACCTGTACTATTCTGGGATTTGGCTTGACAATTTCATTTTTCTGTGCTGACGGGGTATGGCAACTTGAACCGAGGTGCATACGTACAAGGTTATACGTTGTGACTGACTGGTTCAGTCAAAAAAGAACCTTCAAGTGCTGATCTTAGAAGACGAAAAATCGGAAATCTTTAAAAAAACAACTGAAAACTAAGTCGTTTATGGGCGATATGTTAATTCCTATATATTTTATTGTGATGATAACGAAGTAGCTATATCCATGACAGTGATATTTTATAATAGCGCAAACCAAATAACTATGAACGTTCGTCAATATTTGAACGAACAGTTTGACAGAAATAGGATAAATCATTCGTCGAAACTATATTTGAAATAACTGTCGCAACTGAAATCTAAATCAATTAATTTTATTTACTACCTTGAAGAAGTGGAGGCAACAATCACTGGATAAAACGTTGAACTTCAGTCCCTGGGTTCAAATCAAATATTTAAGAAAGGCTAAAAAAAGTCGTAGTCCTACGTTTCATTGATAAATTACTGGGTCATGTCTACCCAACGGTTGTGAGGAATTTCGGGAAACGGAAATAAGAGAAATAAAAAGGACAGCGGCAGCATGTGAGACCGTTACGGGACATCTATCTCTTTTCATTAGAGAAAGAAAGGCTGTAAATTAGTTGGCATAAATCTTTCGGACAAGGATGGAACTACAGTACTGGGTGGGGCGTTTTGAAGAAAACACTAATTAACATCCAGTTAGTCTCCAGTAATACACCATCCTATAGTAACTTTAATGGGAGATTGACACAAATCTCGCGATTTTTAGTGACGTCAAAAAGATCATATTTAACTTGTGATGAAAAGGAGCAGCAGGACCTGATAAGTTAACTCCAAAAATACTTGAAGATGGTTATTTATTTCAGGTATAAAAAGCCCAATGGTTAGGACCTGAATATAGACGGTGATCTGGTGTTAAGACCGCTTGGTTTTCAGCATATAGGTAACAGGTTTGAACCTCACTCCACGTACTTCAGTTGCCTCAAACATTCTGATACGAGCAAAGGTGAGAATTCTTCTCTCACAACTCCGCATTCACAGGCATTATAAGAAAAATCGTCTTAAACGGATTGTTGTTAAGAAGTTGGCTTCACCCACCATCACAATAAAATATAATCTTTAGCTTAGTTGCTAAATTGCTTTAAAGTGCAGATGATGTATGGTTACATTAACATTATCCCAAGTAAATAGTAAGTAGGTTCACTTATGTCTTCACAAAACGTCTCATTTATTTACGCTGGCTTTCCGATTACTTATATCATATCAGTTTACTCTGGTGGGTCGTAAGCACGACAAAACGTCAAAGTGTGCTAACGATTTTAAAGCACTAACTGCATCTGAAAGCTTTTAGAAGCTGTCTTGACTTATCTTAGGGGACTGGTATTATAAAACACATCTCAATAAAGAAATCTATAAAGTTGATAGCTCACCAGTTGGGAGTCTCAAGCGCGGTAAAACTGGTCGATCAAACCTTCTTGTGTCATTGTCTATTCCCGCAATGAAGCGGAGGTCCTTAAGCATTACAATTCATCAGGATTAGATAACATTACCCTACTTAACGACAAAAGCGAACTTCTAGTCAAAATAACGGGCCGAATTATTCATCTTCCGATACCAGTGTTCATTCATCCTAGGACCAAGGCGATTCCCATATCCATCTTTAAAAATGGGTTACATTAAAGTATCCGACAATAATTGGAGTACAAGTGTACTTTCAAGTCCCTTTAAAATATTGGCTACCATCATATTCAATAGGTTGTGCGAAACTCATGAAATACAAACTCGCAAGCAGCACACCGGTCTTAGTTTAGATTGTATTGATCATGTTTTCACTTTTCACCGAATTCTTAGGGACACTTATTATAATGTAATAGTTACTAAGATTCTTTATGTCGGCCTCCTTTGATTGGCTAAATAGGAATTTGCTCTGAGATCATCTGTTGTAGAAAGATTGGTCAGAAATTTTTGTTAACATACTTTGCGCTTTTTAGTAAAATATCTTAAGGAAAGTTATGACATACAACCACCTGTTTATTGTTTCAAGTCGACAGTAAAGTTAAAAGGAATTATCAATTCTCACCCTAGAATTTCTTTGTCGATTGCAGCCTTATAAGAAAATTATGATGGGTATGACACTACCATTATATACATAATCTAGTTCAAACCACATATAATCGGTTAACAATTCATGTGAATAAATAATTCCGAAATGCGAAGCGGTTTCGAAAAACACTGAAGATGGTTTCTGCACTAATCTCATGTAAGCGCTGATGGTGGCATAGCAGATGACGTCATTCTACGCATCATAATCACTCGAGTAACTTAAGCCACTTACATAATGTCAGTCTATCTGTAGTACATCGGGCTTAAGGCGGCATCATTAAAAGCGATCCTGCCCCTATATCTGTTCGCCAACTTTGTGTTTGATCGTCAGTATATCCAGAGGATTATTTCGATAGCAACACAATTTGGTTGGTGGCAATTCGATTGGCAACAATCTTAGGATGCCGGTTTCAGTTGTATTATGATCCCGCTACTTCTCTGTCGCATATCGACGCTAGGAGTGGAAATGGAGGCAAAAACGTATTTGGTTAATAATATTGTTTGAGATAGTATTATAAACGAGGGCAACTAGCTCGTTCTGATAATGTATGAACTCTTGTTGCTATCCCCTGAAATATTAGAAGCATTTAGATAGATTTTATTATACTACCAAAGTTCTTTTATTTTTGAGAAAGAACTTTAGCGATATTCCTTAGTTTAAGATTTTTAGTAATCGCCTTATGTGGTCTTTAATTTCTAGTTAACATCGAAAATATACATCAATAGGCGTTAGACTACGATACAATACCTTTTCTCGTTATGTTTACTAAAACTATATACTGATTTTTTTTCTAACAGCATCGGCAGAAAGTACACCCAACTTATGTTCTGAAAGTGCAATTTTCGCCAGATAGTACATTGATAGCTACTGGGGGAGGTGATGGGAAATTTAATCTTTTAAAGACTGCTGATTTTAGTTTAGTTACAACGCGACAGGGTAGTCCATCAGGTCATCACTGGGTTTGGGATTGCGCGTTTTCGGCAGACTCTCGCTTTTTGCTCACTGCGACTTCCGATGGAGTTGCTCGCTTATGGAATTTGGAGACAGGTGAAGTGCCCGTTGAATACAAAGGACATCAGAGAGCGATAACTTGTATGGCCTTCCGTGATCATTCTTTGAAGTCTATGTAGTCTTTAACTCAATGAAAACTAGATGTATAGTATGAAAACAATTGCTTGATCTTATGCATTTTTACTTTTTTAAAAGCTGTTATAGACGTGAACTTCTGAGCTATTTGTAAGTGTCAATTTATTTCCTTAGCATGGTACAGCAGATGTTAATGCTTGCAAAGTGCCGCTGTTTATAATACATCAAATTTCCAAATTAGAGTACAACGTCGAAAAATTCAACTTATGTGAATTGATAGATGAATGAACCTCTTATGATTTCAAACGATTTATACTTTTTACAGTAATGTACTTACTCTAGTAATAATTATATAATAAGGACCTTGTTGTGTGAATCCGCATTTTTCCACTTGTGTAAAAGTTATTTAGACCCATGAGTTGTAGTCATTACGCTTTCCGAAGTTTGTTTGTCACGCAGGTTTCTGTAGTTGTTGTTTTATAGTTCACAAATAGATTCGTTCTTGGGCCAATATGTTTCATTGAAATTATGAACTGACCGATGGTCTACAGTTTAAGCGTTTGCATACGACACTGAAAGTTCTAGGACCATTTCTGGTGTGAACACGAAACACTCGTGTTTTTTTTGACAATAGGAATTGAAGACTACTTGGTATGGGTCCGCGCAACCATTGTAACCAGTGTTTGGAGACCAGTTGACACTGCTCAGAATCGATCACAAGGGCGTAGATGCACACACTCTTTGTCTTCCCTTAAACCATGTGATTAAAATTGCTTTATACCTCTCTTTCTATGGACTAATTCCTTCTTCCTGTATTATATCCTTATACGCGATCTTTCTTTAAATACATTACTATCATTGAAGTAACTACTTCTATGAATTTAGTGTTCATCGCGTTGTGCTAGTGAGGTGTCGCCAGTTGGACCGATGCATATATGTGCCCGGTCGTACGCTGAAGATGACTGACTTGATAAACAACAGGTGCACATGCGAATACGTTCAGTACAACTGAGTACGTAGGGACACCTTTATGTACTTTACTTTAAACTAAATACTTAGTTAAGTGTTTTAATTGTTCCCACTGAACTTCCTCAATAAAAACTTCTCTAGAATCAGTCAACAACTCCACAATGTAAGTTGTAGAGTGCAATAGTCTGAGCTACGGGACTTTCTACGCCATTTCCATAGGCTACCATAGTTGTGTTAAGGCTTTCAGCCTTTCTCCGTATCATTGCTAATGCATTATTTTGTCTCATTTGCTACACAGCTAGTTAATTTTATTTGACCGTGCTAATGTGTTGTAACAACTTGAACTAAATTACGCTTATGCCCATGTGTACATTGATTATGACTGACCATGAAAATAAACCAAGTTTCCTTTTAGAGAAAGCGGATAATATTGCTGACGAAAGACATGATTATCAGCGGTACCGAACAATCCAAGTCACGCATAAAACAAAAAATATGAATTTATTCTGTCAAAATAAGTTCATCCAAACTCCAGTCTTCAAAACTCCCATCAGGAAGGAAGCGTCGAATAATGATAGGTATCTTGTTAGCCCTTAATTCCTTTTCAGCAATTTTTAGAGGATCTCGTTCACCATCCAGTTCGACCATAACGGGAGCAGACATTGATAGTTGCAGAGCTCGTGCACCCAAAACTCTAGCACGCTCATATTTCGTAAGATATGGAGTAGTAATCCGTTTACTTTTTTCTACTGGGGCAGCCATATTTTGACCTGATAAGCGCGGCGCTTCATCAGCTGTTATGTACGTGACACCTTCTATAAAATAATATGCAAACGCTTAGTGACTGGCCTCTGTAAAATCTCTAGAAATGTATATTATGCGACTAATTTCAGTGTGTACTCAATCTGTGCAGACTAGTTTGAAGATATCACATAAACTGTACTATTAAACAAAGAGTCTAATAACCACGAGTACATTGTGTAGGAAGTGATTACGCTATGTAGATGTGAAGTGCAAGCCCGTTACACATTAAAAAGTAATCAGGATTGTGGAGAAACAGTTTCTCCACAATATTGATAGACTCAGAAAGACCTACCGATATTTACATATTTACTTAAACACACACAATGAGGCACCAAATAGATTGCTCAATTTGTTTGACGGCTGCGATACCGCCCGGGTGCCGAAACCGATGGTTTCCTTAGGGGGCCACACCTCGAGCCTTTGACTTAAAAGCCCGACCCACAAGACAGTGAAGCAACGTAAGATGTGCAGTCCCATGGTAGCCGGTCACCAATAATAGGTCCATACTCCATTTGTCTCTGGAGCCCATGTGCTCGATTTACTTAAACACACACACAATAGGCTTCGTTAATGTCAGGTGCTACAGATTCGACATATAACCCTCTGTCTTCAATATCATTGCCTCTTTCTTGTGGTTAGAAACAATTCACTGAAATTTCATGGACCAAACAGGTGATGTTGCTATCTGATAATCATGTTTTGCGTCAGCAATATTATCCGCTTTCTCTAAAAGGAAACTTGGTTTATTTTCATGGTCAGTCATAATCAATGTACACATGGGCATAAGCGTAATTTAGTTCAAGTTGTTACAACACATTAGCACGGTCAAATAAAATTAACTAGCTGTGTAGCAAATGAGACAAAATAATGCATTAGCAATGATACGGAGAAAGGCTGAAAGCCTTAACACAACTATGGTAGCCTATGGAAATGGCGTAGAAAGTCCCGTAGCTCAGACTATTGCACTCTACAACTTACATTGTGGAGTTGTTGACTGATTCTAGAGAAGTTTTTATTGAGGAAGTTCAGTGGGAACAATTAAAACACTTAACTAAGTATTTAGTTTAAAGTAAAGTACATAAAGGTGTCCCTACGTACTCAGTTGTACTGAACGTATTCGCATGTGCACCTGTTGTTTATCAAGTCAGTCATCTTCAGCGTACGACCGGGCACATATATGCATCGGTCCAACTGGCGACACCTCACTAGCACAACGCGATGAACACTAAATTCATAGAAGTAGTTACTTCAATGATAGTAATGTATTTAAAGAAAGATCGCGTATAAGGATATAATACAGGAAGAGGGAATTAGTCCATAGAAAGAGAGGTATAAAGCAATTTTAATCACATGGTTTAAGGGAAGACAAAGAGTGTGTGCATCTACGCCCTTGTGATCGATTCTGAGCAGTGTCAACCAAAGTCTCAAATCACTGGTTGCGATTTCTTTGTCGGAATGCCCTTAAACGTTAGGTTTCCTTCTTTTTAAGCTGGTTCACGACGTTTGATGCTGATTTTGTTGTTAGTTCTGTTTTTATCAGCGCTACACTGCTTGTTTTTGTGATGAAGAATAGCTTTAGGTCGATTCTAAGCAGTTCGTAATGGTTGGATTGACGAGTTTCTATAAACGAAAAAGTGTTCATTAAGTCGTAAGCATGTTTAGATGAAAACAGTAGTTGATTGCCGTCACGTGAGATCAGGCTCAACTGAAACAATCTCTTTCGCAAAATGTCCAGTCTAGGATTTTACGTCCACATTATATCTAGGGAATTATGGATTAATTAATTGTCATGGGAGTCTCAGCACTGCATCGTAAATTAGTTCTGCTTTGGTTTGACCAACGTTTGTTTTCACTTCATTGCTGATTTCGCGTACGAGTAGATATCCGTCAGCTTATTGCAATGTACTTGCAAAGGAAAGCGAAGCATTTAAATACCGTTTAAATCTTTGTGCACTTGTCAACATATGAATATCAGATCGATATGATCTTCTGTGGAAGTCACATCTTAATCTACACTGACTCGTCATATTATCACAGTCACTACAATACTGTCCAAGACTCCTGAAGAACACAAAATCATGTAGTAAGATGATATTTTTGATATGAAACGGAGTAAATTACATAAGGTTTCACATTAGCTTTCTTGATTTCAACGACTTTGAATAATTTTACTTTGAATAAGTCAGAAACTGACTTATTCAAGACTCAATAACTGCAATTCATTTTTATGAACCATCAACCACGATGTAAGAATATAAATAATTGGTTCACTGCTTATGAAAGCATTAGTCATTGAATATGTCTTACAAATGCACTGAAGTTCAACGAATTATCTTCAGCTACCTGTCCGAAATTCATATAATTATCAACGATTTCACGTACCATTCGGATTTTTTACGATACTTTATGTGTATCAGTAGTAGTAATAATTTCAATGACGGTTAAGCAGAGATGAGTTCGAGAAAATCTCGAAAAAGAATTGTGACGTTTCATGGTGAAAGCCGGAATTTTTCGGAAGTCACAAAGCCGATGTTCCTTCTAACAACCAGAGAAGCAGTTGTCATAGGTACATGGAATGTTCAGACAATACGGGAGGCTGAGAGAACCGGCAAAATAGCTTCGGAAATGAGGAAATACAATTTAGCATTGCTTGAAACAAGTGAAACACACCGGACCTAAGCTGTAAGGAAAAAGATTCGGGAGGTGTACTGCTGTATTCTGGTCACGAAGAATAAAATACTCCACACACTCAGGAAGTTGCTATGATGCTTTTTAAAACGGTACATAAAGCGCCTGGATGAGAATCTAATGAACCTAGGAACATCAAAGCATCCCTCAAAACAAAGAAAGAAGGAATCACAATGAATGTTATCCAATATTACGCACCCATCAATGATAGCAACGATGACTATAAAGATCAGTTTCGTGAGATGCTTTAGTCTATCATAGCGAAGTGTCCAGAAAAGGACGTGGTGGGATATCTAGACGCCAAAGTCAAAATACACAACAATGGATATGGGAATATCACGGGACAACATGGACTGACTAGGAGAAAGGAACGAGAATAATGACAGATTCGCAGATCTATGTACTGTAAGATCCATTTTGAATGTTTTGTGTGTTTGTGAAAATCCCTCCATGTATATACTTGTACTTTGTTCCTATTGATTCCCTTAGTTGTACATTGTTGTATTTTGATTACATTTGAGTTGTTAATACTTGTATTTTTTATTATAGTTTTTGTTTTCTTACGCATTCACTAAGTTTGTGTTTCTTCCTGAACTGCATCTGTGTTGTTTTACTTGACACTTGTTCTTGGCGGTAGCCATATTGATCTGTTCCTCCTGTTGTGTGTGATCTATCCAGCCAGGATAGAATAACGTTGATTTGTTGTGATTGGTAAATTTCTTGCATCCTTTATCAACTTCCTTATTTATTGTAATTAGATTTGATCAATTGAACAATTATTGGTTGGATAGCTGAGTGGTTATATTTGTTTAGGTAATAATGTACACTTAAATTTATGATAAATTATAGAACCGCTATCTTACCCAATTCCTTTGTTTTGGTTTCAATCGGGCGAGGGCGCGTATCTAACTCATCCAGACAGCTGTCCAGCAGTCCAAACGTAGTTTGGATCTTACAGTACGTTCAAGAAAATGATTATAGGATGCACAATATTCGCAGTAAAACGCACACAAATGGAGACAAGGGTCATATCGTATCACGCTACAGAGAATTAGATCAACCACACTCGTATCAGTGAAAATTTAGAAGGTCGATAGATGTGAGAATCAGCAAATGAGCTCACACAGATCCGGATTACCACTTGATGTTTGCGAAGATGAAACTGAAACTAGAGTTGCACTGAATAGCTGGACAAACACCATTATAAACGTTCAGTACAGCCCTCCTTGTATATACTGACAAACTCCGTGAATTCGAGATAGCAATCTCAACAACAGGTTCCAAGCCTTACAAGACCTACCCAAAGAAGAAACTACTATGGAGAAAAATTGGAAAGAGATCAAAGAAGCACTGACTTCAATAAGTCAGAAAGTTCTTGGTCGTAGGACGCATAATCGTAGGGAATGTATCTCTATCGAAAACCCTAGGCAAGATTTAAGAAAGGAAGAACAAGAAACTGGCAATTACCAACATCCGAAGAAGAACAGAGAAAGTCAAGGCACAAGCTGAATACACAGAAGTAAGCAAGTGAAGAAGAAAATTAGATACAACAGGCAGAAATACGTCGAAACCTAGCAACAACAATGGGGAAAGCCGGGGGAGAACGAAATATGACGCAACTATATGACATAAAGAAGAAACCGTTAGAGGAGTATAGCAAGCCAGAAAGACCGGTCAAGGACAAAGAAGGAAAGCCAATCACTGAGATTCAAGAGCAGAGTAAAATGTGAGCAGAAAAATTTGAAGTACTCATGAATAGGCCAGCTTCAATGAATTCACCTAATATCAAAGCAGCACAGATAGACTTTCCTATAGATGTCATTTCCCCAACGATCGAAGAAATCAGGATGACTATCAAACAAATCAAGAGTGGGAAAGAAGCAGGACCTGAAAATATGTCACCCGAAAAACTAGAGTTCAGAAGTAACTACAAACAAGCTCCACATTCTATCCAAGGAGGTCTGAGCAAATGCGAGGAGTATAGCGGAATCACACAGTTGTAAGTACCATGGAAAGTTTTCAACAGAATGTTATCGAACCGGATGAAAGATTAGGTGGATGTCCAGCATCCAGATCAACAGACTGGATTTCGTAATGATCGGTGGACACGGAGGGTCCACCTAGGTGAGTTGGAAAACTCTGATTCCAAACCAATCGAGCACATGAGCTCTAGTATCCTTAAGAAACAATTGGAGAATGAACCTACTGTTAGTGACCGGCTACCATGGGACTGTACATCTTACGATGCTTCACTGTCTTGTGGATCAGAC